TGAGACCATCGGATGGGCCGTTGTTAGTGCCAGCTGGGCCTCCACATTGAGTAAGCCGACAATAACGCATAGTAGTATTCCAAGATGCAGCTGTGTATGCTATTACTTCATCAGACAAGTCAGCAGAGGCTAGGTCAAACTTGGATATAAACCTTAGATAACTATCAGCAGGGTCGAAGAATATTTGGAATGCTAGGTCCCCACCACCGACAGTGGTAGTAGGTTGGAACTTACACCGCAATACCAGAGTAGTAGAGGCGGGAACATGTGTATCATTGTCTAGTGTACCAAACCCAACAGCATGGGCTTCACAAGCCACTACTGCCACCATTAGATCTGATGCATCTAGTACGTATTTACCCCACCATCCATCAGTGTTCACTGCTACATCCATACCCTTGGTATTTACGGAAGGACCATTCTCATTAGCATTAGGGTTGCCCTCAGTGCTCCCCGAAATTGCCTTCTCTTTCTTCTTATTTTCCCCAGTAGTGGACTGAGTGTTAGTAGCCCAATTAGCAGCAGCATTGCCTAGAGCATAGCCTGCTAGTGCACACCACAGACCCCCTAGGCCTAGACGGACCCAGCGTCCTATCTCGGGGCTCACAGAAAAGGAGAATGGTGTGGACGGTGATGAAGGAGCAGGAGGAGGCATGTACTGAATACACCAGGCGTTAACAACAACTGAGAGAGTGTACAGGCTAGCACTATGAATATCGCAACCAAAGCGGTAGGTAATAAGAAAAAGAGTACACTGGTATGATAACAAAATCACACAATCACTGGAATATCGAATGCTCATCTATAGCCCCTTTATTGCAGCTGTAGGCGTTTAAGCTCCATTTCCATATTAGAACGAGCTTGGGCCTCGCTGGGGCCTCCACAGAAGGCGAACATTGCTCTCTTACTATTGCACACCGACGCTAAGAACCCGCACCGTTGTTGGGCATATATGCTAGAGCCTCCTACCACAGGCTCGTACTCTTGCCGTATACCTTCAGCATACTCTCTATACCGGTCCTCATCCGCAGCTAGGATTAGTAGGTCCAGGTCTAGGAAGGCATTGAGGGTAGGGTAGGCCTCTTCCGGGTATATACTTCTACTAGACACATGGTCCTTGGTAGCTAGGATTATATCAGACACCTCATCCCTAAGCTCAGAGGCTACTGCTGCATCTAGACAGAACTTGAGCCACAACTGCTGACTAGCATCCTCATTGCCATCCAGGCCGGGTACATATATCGCATCATGGAACCATGCAGTGAGTTGTAGGGTGGTTGTGGCGTGGGCTGAAGACGCTACTGTTATTGGTAAAGGACCTTCACCCACACAAGAGGACTCAATGTTGCCCAATATCTCCCCCACCTGCCATCATGAACAGCGTTAATAGTAACTACCAGTAGTAGTAGCAATGGTATTACGTGATTGAGTGTGTGATAGTAGCGCCAAGGTTGGAGGTATAGATCCCTTAGTGTAGACCACCATTCATCGATCTTCAATTGAAGCTGTTCATGCTTATCATCATCAACAACACCATCGACTGCGCAAGCCTTTGCTATTAACTGGGACCATTTATCGTACCTACCTATACACTAGAACGACGGTCGAGAGCCTCCATGCCGCCTTACATGGCGTTCAAGGCTTCCTCTCCCCCTGCCTTATCACTCATATACTCCCTAACATCAGTAGAGCTCACCTTACCACCATGCTGTGACCCTTGACTCCTCAAAGCAACCTCCACTATAGCGACCTCAGGGCAGCCAGCCTCCTTCCGTGCCTCATTCACCACAACACCACCTTTAGCTGTCTCCGTAGTGACCACTAGACAGTCGAAGTCTCGGAGGGTCCGGGCTGGCCCTATAGGGTCTCTAGTGATATCAGGTATTATCACTACATCACAGTGCCAGTCAGTAGGACGTATGTCTTGGACGAATTGTAGGACCTCCCTCTCCCTCACATGGAAAGGCTGTAGTGCCTTAGCCAGCCTCTTGTGTTGTAGTAGCTCCCCTGCTACCAGTGCTAGCCGTAGAGTCTTCCTAGCCATAAGTAAGCTACGGGTTATGACAGCTCGATGCCCAACATGGAGGTGGTCGAACGTACCAGCAAAGAGGACATGATCGTAGTGGGGTAGCGGAGAGCTGTGGTGGCCCGCATGATGGACAGGTGTAGTAACAGGAAGCAATAGGTCGACCTCATGACCATCCATAAGGCCCATTGCCCCTACTAAGACGCATTGAGGCCCTCTAACCTCCAAGGTCTCGTTAAGGCGTACTTGGACATCCAACAAGGGATGAGCATTCTCACCAGCAGCTTGGTATACATCATCTATTACTTCGCATAAGGTGCTTGAGTCATACTTCAGGCCAAAGCGATGAGGGGATAGGCTCACTACCAATCTACTACGGGCTAGAGGGGCTGC